GAAAAAGCAAGCAAGGCTGGTGATGGGTAATGAGCCTTGATTCTGTCCAAGTAGCATTGTATCTACTGGTTCGTCACTTGATTCAGTGAGTATGGTGCAGTCCCCACCACCTGGGGAGGCTGTTTCGTGCTTGGATGGCATGAGCATCTCCTTACATCTGCAGGAAAAAGCATGATAACCAGGATGAAGAAATGATGAAACCAAAGGTCAACTCAGCACTTTGTACCGGTGTCATTAACATGGGCAGTGCCAGGTGTTGCGGCTGCGTATGTAGTCAACACTCATAGGTCCTGCCAACTAGGAATTGTTTTACTATGGGTTAAAATCAGATTTTATTTTATTTTTTAATCATTTTTTTAAGTAGGCTCCATGCCCAGCGTGGAACTCAATGTGGGCCTTGAACTCACAACCCTGAGATCAAGACCTGAGCTGAGATTGAGTCAGACACAAGTGACTGAGCCACCTGGGCACTCCTAAAATCAGATTTTAATTCGTTTATTGGGAACCAGGCTCCTAGTGCAATAAAATGAGGTGACTGTCCAAGATATCAGAAGCAGGTTGTATTGAGATTGGATGACTGCCACTCCCTACCCGCCGCAACCCCTCCCCCCACCACCACTCCCCAGGGAAAGTTATGTACAGACTATCTCAGTAGGGCCCCAGGATTTGAAAAGCCCTAATATATATATTGATAATTAGGTATTTTGGGGTTAATTACAGTATAAAATTTCTCTTTACCCGTAAGAATGTTAGCAATAAATAAATCCGTTTGTGAGGCCAAGACCCTAATTCATGAGTATAGAGATTTATTTTGTGTATACATAGGAATCTGTCTTGGCCTGTATTTTATAAAGTCTGGTTTTATATTTCATGTTTAAAAGCTTCTTGTTTGATTATTGAGAAATTGAAGAAAGTTCAAGTCTCTTGTAATTTTAGAACTGTCTCTATCTTCCTGCTTGAGATCCATAGAGAAGACCCCTTCAGCTTTGATTGTTCATAGCATTTGTCAGTAAGATATGACTCTGATTATTTAAGCTTTTGTGTAAAATATTCCCTGTACCTTGTTTTTAACTCTTCTTCTTGCTCCCATATTCATAGATGAAGAATCCTTTTTTCATTTGCTCAACATTGCATTCATGATTCCTTGTTTGTAAAGATTACAAGTCTTTAGAGGGAGTTTGCAAACACAAGATGAATGTAATATAAACTTTTTATCATAATTTTATATTTTGTATTTTTATATTTTTTACAGTGAGCAAACAAATATATTCCATTTCCAGGTTTTATGTAGACATTTCTTTGTGAGGTATTTTTTTGAGTTACATTTTTAAAATCAGAACTTTCTCTTTTAAAAAAAAAAAAGATTTTATTTGTTTATATATGAGAGACCAGAAAGAGAGAGAGAGAGAGGCAGAGACACAGGCAGAGGGAGAAGCAAGCTCCATGCAGGGAGCCCGATGCGGGACTCGATCCCGGGTCTCCAGGATCACACCCTGGGCTGAAGGCGGCACTAAACCATTGAGCCACCCAGGCTGCCCTAATTTACAATTTTTACTGAAAATTGTATTTATATATGTAAACACTAATGAATACCAAGAGAAAATCTTCATAAGTGATTTAGATCAAATACTAAATGTAAAAAATAATAGATAGCCACTTTTCTAGTAGTTAACTCGTGTTTCAGTTAATTTCCTCATATTAACCAAAAACTTTGCTGAGATTTTCAGGATATAAATCTGTCATATGTAATTTCTTTTATTAACATTAGCAAGTTGATATGTTTAATATTCCTGTATTGAAATGAAAGAAGACATTAATTTGAATTAACACTAAATAAATTTTTAGTATTTTTTCAAAACAATCATACTGTCTGATTTAATGATTATTCATTTACTAGGTCAAATATAGTTCTTGATAGATGAGTTGATAATATCAATCCACCTTTTATAATTAAGTATCAAGGGCCTGTTCTTAATCAGCAATTTTTTTAAGGCTGAGTAAACATGCTGTTAATTAAACTCACAGATAATGGTAAGGGATGTTGATTGTTCCAATAAAGAAAATAAAATGATGCAGCCTGACCTTAAGAAGTTATAAATCTGGGAATGTTGACAAATGATAATAAGCAGCAAACCTTTAAAGAAGAGGATTGGTTCCCAAGTCAATATTGCTGAAAGAAATTGAATTCAGATTTGAAATGTATAACTTGAATATCCTTTAAAATATTCTATGCAAACTCTCAAATATGTCCACAATACCTAATTTAGAAGTCAGGTGAAAACTTCTCTTTGAAGAGCCTGTTATAACATGTACATTCTGAATTAAAGAAGACATCACAATAAATCTTAAATGGTGGTTGAGGGTGGCCCGGGTGTAAGAGGACAGAATCACAGTGCCCTGAACCTAATTATAGGTGAATTCGATGAGGTAGCCTGGTGGCTTTTATTCCCCTCTTTTTCACTACTATACTGCTAATAGGGAATGCAGTGCCAATCTGCATTGAAGGAAAATTAAATTATTTTAGGGGGGATCTTCTCTATCTCTTGGATATGAATGCCTGTTTCCTTCCCCAGATTAGGGGAAGTTCTTGGCTATGATTTGTTCAAACATATTTTCTGGTCCTCTCTCTCTTTTCAAGCCCTTATCCCAATAAGGCAGATGTTACTCTTTCTCAAACTATCACTTAATTCTCAGAGTCTCTCCTTGTGCACTCTTAGTTGTTTTTCTCTCTTTTCCTCAGCTTCCTTTCTTTTCATCAACTGTTATTTTATGTCACTCACTCTTCTGCCTCATTTACCCTAGCTCTTAGAGCATCCAGGTTCGACTGCATCTCAGTTAAAGTATTTTTAATTTCAGCTTCATTAGATCTCATTTCTGCAGTAAGGGAATCTCCAGCATCTTTTATCCTTTTTTCAAGAGCCACTGGTAATTTTATAATTGTAATTCTGAATTCTATCTCCAACATTTTACTTAAATCCATATCCATTAGATCTGTGGCAGATCTGTTCTTTCTTTTGTGGCAAATTCTTCCTTCTAGTCATTTTGTCCAGCGCAGAATGGCTGTCATGAGTGAGCAGAGTCAAAAGTATCAATCACGACCCAAGCAAAATACACTCCAGACAATTCTGAAGAGGTCAGGGACCAGAAAATAAATTTAAAAAGAGACAACTAAGGTGAAAAACAAATTTACAAAAAAAAAAAAAAGTAAAAATTTTAAAAGGGGGGGGGGTGGAAGGAAATGGCAGGGCAGAGAGAATAGTCTCACAGAGTGGACCACGATGGTGATTCTCTTGGTTCTGAGTGTATTTTGGTCTGTATATTTGGTGCTAAATTCCAAATTTACATTAAAAAAAGCAAAGTTTATATAGAGAAACAACAGTAAACAACAAAAACAAGAAGAAAAAAGAGGAGGGGGTGCGGAATGGGAAGGAGGAGAGAATATAATCTCAGAGAGTGGACCAACCCAGCGCTCCACTTGGTACTGAGTGTATTTTGTTCTGCGTGTTAGAATGTACTAAATTCAAAAATTGGAAAACAAAACAAACTCCAAAACTTACATATCAACAAAAATTAAATGCAGTACATTGAAAGGAAGCCAAAAAATGAAGAATATATCTATGACACGTAATTGTAAAAATACGAAAGAAGGAAAAAACTTAGAAAACAGTAATTGATACAATATTGTAGTTAAGACAGGAAAAAAGAAAGAAAATTGGAAATTTTTAGCCTGAAAGATAAACGAATCACAAGAACAAAACTTCGAGTTCTATAAACTATTTTCCTTCAGTCCTGGAGGTTTCCAGTGCTGCTTGGTCAGTAAACTTGCTGTTCCCAAGTTTAAACTTCCAGCAGTTCCTATGGGGGAGGGGCCTGCTGCCCTGATTCTCAGGTGTCTGTGCCTGGGTGGGGATGCCCCGCCCCTTGCCAGGTGGTCAGCCTCCGTGTGAGCTATTTGCCCTGTGAGACCTTTGTTCCTGGAGTCCGCACCTCTCTTGCAAGAAGCAAGCACTTTTCTATCTGCAGCTCCCCAACTGTTCTTTCTTTACATCTCAAGGTGGATTCATAGGTGTTCATGATGGTTTGAAAGTTATCTAGCTAAATTTGGGGGACCACATGAAACGAGGACCCTTATTCTTCTTTCATCTTGCCTCTTCCTCTGAAGGAAAAGTAGATGGAAGGGAGATAATATTCGCCTCATCATCAACCAGTTTTGCATTTATCTTATTCTTTGCTGCTTGTGAGAGTTACTTTAAAATCCAAATAGACATTTTATAACTTTGTCCTGGCAGAAACAGGAAAACATAGTTGCCCAATGCCCATATATAGCAGTTTGTTTCTGTTGAGTAGACACCCAGGATAAAAACAGTGTAAGTAGTGTGCCTCTGGCAAAGGGCTTTTGCTATTATTTTAATACTAACTGGAATCTGTCTTTATGATTCCAAAATATTTACCTTAATGAGGAATTTAAATGGAGTATACAAGATGAAAAATGAATCCGTAGTGAAATGCATCTTAGGCATCAGCTGTTCTATTGACAAAAGGCACAAATAGGAAATTTGCCTAAATAATTAGATTTTTAATTAGTGCATCATTGTAAGATGAATGGTATTGCGCTTCATTGCATGTAATTTTGTATTAGAGATTTCATGTCAACAGAGATGCTACCTGTGGTTTGCTGATTTGAATCCTTAATTTATCACTTGGGTGTATAGCATGTCACCTATTTGCAGTCAGGAGTAGAAAGAAGGCATTTGATTATAACTTCACTGGTGGTGAGGAATACTGATGATATGGTAAATGAATACATTATATTTTCTAATATTCAAGAGGCAGCCACCCCTCCAACATTAGTGAGTGCCTATTAACTTGCAAAAATTTAAGCAGCAGCGTGAGCAGATAAGTTGCTCAACCTCTAGTGTATGTGTATGTTGAATGTACCTGGACATTACTGATGTTATATTTGCTTTTTAAAACGTTGATTTTGTCTTTCCTTTTGACAGTTGCCGAACAAGCAACCGGAAAAGCTTGATAGGTAATGGACAGTCACCAGCATTGCCTCGACCACACTCACCTCTCTCTGCTCATGCAGGTAATTACTTACCCTTTCTTGAGTTGTGTTTTACTTCTTTTTGCTGGTTCTTAAAATACTTCAGGCCTTCTGAAATTTCAATTTCTATCTTGGTTTTCCTGTGGTTTTATTGGTATGTTGTTCTTTCTGATAGGTTAGCCCAAACCTCATCCTCTCTTTCAGAGTATTTGAACTCTGAAATTGAGAATTTCTTTTTAGATGGAATCCTTTTTTTGGTTATTTATTTCTCCATTTCTGAATTTGTGGATGATGCAAGACATGTTTTCATGTTGGGATAATCTTTGGGGAGTACAGATGTGTTTGTTCACATGAAGAGGACCAGGGTTAAGAACTCTGGGAGAGGAAATCTGTCTTTGTCCCTACCCTTCTAAGTTCTCAACTGGGAACCCTCATAACCAAAGACAGATTAACAAGAGAAGAGCAAACACATTGATTTAAAAGAAGATTTCTGTGTCACAGGAGCCTTCATAAGAAAATGAAGACCCAAGGAAATGGTTAGCCTGAGTGCATTAATGCTAGGTTTGATGAAGAGTGAAAAGTTGTGCAAAGACAGGACAGGACAGAAACAAGCTAACTCTAGTAAACTGGGGCAAATTGAGCAAAGGCTCTACAGTCACAGCCTTCTGTGTCCCTTGTTCTCAGAAATAAGGATGCTCCTTCCTCCAAGTTCAGGGAGGACACCTCTTACTTGGGGACTTGATGATGTGCGTTAGGCGCAGATCCAAAGACCCTTCCTGCACATGCCATTTCTCCTATTTCTTCACCTTAAAATACTGTTGGTCAGGATGCTGTATTTTGAGGCCACATGTCTTAGCCTCCATCAGAACCATTTAGCATTTATTCTCCTAAAGTTGAACTTACCCATTACTTACATTACAAATAATGCTACTATGAGCACTCTAGAATGTGTCTTCTCTAGTATGTGTGCAAGAGTTTATCTCAAGTTTTGCCTGGCAGTGGCATATATAACTTACTTATTACATCTACAATCCTTATAGGGACAGTGGATTTAGGATATGAGCCCTTGGCCTCAAGTACTAATCATAAGGAAGGTACAGCCGTATTAGAAAAACTGTACTGAAGATTGCTTTGTATGTTGGGGGGTTTTCTTTGTTTGTTTGTTTGTTTTTATGTTATGTCCATGATGATGCAAGGAAGAGAGAAGGGTTCATTCCAACCAGGAAAACATGAGAGAGTTCAAAGGAGCCACTTAATCAGGATGTTGAAACCCAGGCAAGACTTGGGCTGGTAGAAATAGGGTGAGAAAAGAGGAATTACTAGTGTGCCTTGGGTGGGTGGGTATTGGATTGTAAGAGAATATGAAGGTGGAAAGAGAGATGAAAATTAAGAGAGCATGAGGAATTTTTATTTTGATTGCCTCTCCAGGATTTGGAGGAGGATCTATGTTTTAGGGAGCTGTCTTGAAGATTGTGAAGGATGACGAGTGGGAAGGATGAGTGAGTAAGCCCTAAGTCATTGACTCTGGTGGAAACTCTAATCCTGATGGGCTTTCCAATGATACTCATTTCCTATTTAAAAGTAGGGCTGTGACTCTTTCTCTGAAGGCAATCCTTTTGCTCAGCTGTTGGCTTTCAAGTTGAGTGGGAGTTACCTGTAACACATTTGGGGAGAAGAAAGGAGCGAGAGTGATAGTTGTCCCTCTGGAATGAAATCTTATTTTCTCTTTAGTAATAAATAAAAGATGGCAAAGTAAAAAAGGTAAAAAGCACTAATTGATAAAATTGTGATAGTAGTGCCAGACTGCCAAAACCCAGAAATGGCGCTCTCAAGTAGAATTTCAGAGAAATTCATGCACATATACACAAGAAGGCATGTTCTAGACTGTTCATAGCAGCATTGTAATAGCTAAACATCTGAAGTCACCTCAGTAGCTATCGATTGGAAAAGGGATAAATGAGTTGTGGCATAGCCACAGAGCATAGAACACAAATGTACTAGCGCACATGTATCCACATGGATGCAACTCAGTGAGAGTGTTGTAAGCAAAAGCCAGGTTGCAAAAGATTACTGAAACCATTCATGTAAGGTTAGCATGAGGCTCCAAAGAATATTTTGTTTAGGGATACATGAGTGTGCCCATAAATATGTATATACATTTCTCATAAGAGTCTGAAGGAAAACATGATAATTTTAAAGATCAATTTCATGGCAGTAGTTACCTCTGAGAAGGTGTGAGGGAGATACCACTGGGGAGAGGGGTGAGCCACTGGATTTCCACAGCTGATGGATGGGCACCTGGCTGTTTCTATTAATACCATTTATACTGTGGAGATTTGTATTACATTATCATCAGAACAGTAAAAGGTGACATATAGGGGTAAGCAAGTCCAAATACTTATTTGGGGACTGGAGTTCTATCTTTTTTTTATCTTTTTTTTTTAAGAGTTGCAGTATTTTATTTTATTTTATTTTACTTTATTTTAGAGAGAGTGCGCACATGCACATGCAAGGATGGGGTTAGAGAAAGAGAGAGAGAGGGAGAGAGAGAATCTCAATCAGACTAAATGCCCAGTGCAGGGTATGACATGGGGCTCAGTCTCATGACCCTGAGATCTTGACCTGAGCTGACATCAAGACTTAGATGCTCAACCAGTGGAGCTACCCAGTTGCCCCTGGAATTGTATGTTTACATTCACCTTGCACAGCACTCAACAGTATATACAAGTGCTAAGTGTATCATGAATTTTATTTCCTACATGTAATTCAGCAGTGATTAAAAACTTTAATCCTATTTCTCTTTGTAGTGCTCTGTAGTTGTTGTACCCTCATTTATGTGCCTGTTGATTAGGCTTTTATTGCTGTGGTTTTCTTCAGTGCTAATATTGAGAATAGAGAAAATGTAGCGAAGACTTTAATGATCCTCTTAATTATTTTTCTTTCATTCTACGTAGACTCGAATTCTTTTCTCTCCAAACATATTTTTAGTGTTTAATCAGAGGAGTGGGCTGAGAGAAGCCTGTCTTTCGGGTTCTGTTTCCTTTAGGCTGTTAGACCCAGCAGGTTTTTATTTGCTCAGAACCTGTAGGACTCTCAGACCTTTTTGTGAGAAATGGCATTTATTGTAGTCTCGTAGTTTCCTAATTACATATAATGAAGGAGAAGATGTAAATTAAATAAAGACCAGTCCTCATGTCTCAGTGATGTGAATGCCTACCTTCTCTCCGTGCCTCATGAACCTTTTGCTTCCCATTGCTGTCCTCTGTGTCATGTGTTTGATACACAGGATGCCAGGTGAGAATCCCTAAATGTCTTTATGAAAAACAAGAGAGAGAAAAACTACCACCTCTCAGCACTTTCTGACCCAAAAGATAAAGTTAGACTTTCTATTGTTTTTTTTTTTTTTTTTAAGGCTGGGATTATGTGAATCAGGCCACTCGTCGTGGACACATGAATTAATACCTATCAAATGCATTGTGGAGATGAGAACGTGAATTTATTTGTGTAGATGTGTAAATAGTGCTCCAAGGAAAAAGAGATACTGGCATAGTGTTCTGGAGCTTATCTCTACAAATAAAATAGTGTTTGTTGAGAGCCAGGGACTCCAAAAAGAATAGTGAATAAGAGCCCCATTAAAAAAAAAAAAAGGTAGAAAATCACAGGCTCCTAGTCCAGGAAGATTCTAAGCATGAAATTTAATCCAGAAGCCCCAAAGGAAAAGACTGGTGTATCTCTTCTAACATGAAAATTTCTCTGTAGTAAAGAAAACCCAAAGAAAATAAAGTGTGAGAAATATTTTTAAGCCCATAATAGATAAATATCTGATTGCCTTACACATAGAGCTTGTTTAAATTGACATGAAAATGGTCAGTGTACCAGGAAAAAAATGGGCAGAAGATGTAAAGGGCATATCCTAGAAAAAAAGTCAAACCGTCCCCCCCAAAAATATGAGATCATGATTCACCTCAGTCATAAAAGAAATGTGAGCCAGAATAATAGAGTATCATTCACCTAGCACATTGTCAAAAATTTTATAACATTGACAGAACCCAATGACCGCAAGGTTGTGCAGAAGCAGGCCCAGCCACATGACCCACATGACGTAGGTGTCAACGCGAACTGGTGCATCCATTTGGGTTGGTTTGCACTGTTGGTTACATTTCAACTGCCTTTGCCCTTTGGCCCAGCAAATTCATCTCTAGGAATTTATCTACTGAGATTCTCACAAAATAGCAGAAAATAACAAGTCTAGCTACTTGTAAATAGCAAATGGAAAGTTAAGTTGTTACCTCTTTATCATTTAATGTGTCCTTCAGTAGGGAACTGGTTTCGGTTTCATAGAAAATGACTCAGACCTACAATCCAGCACTGCATGGGGTTGTTACAAAGAGTGAGATAGACTTTCATGTTTTGTTATTAAATTGATGCCCAAGATAGACAATTAAGTGAAAAAATACATTGTGCATATGTGTGTGTGTTTTTTAGACTGCATATATACGTTTATGCACACTTTGCATATCATGCATATTCATAGGAACATTTTGGAAGGAGAAGCTTAGCATTGTTTATCTTTGGGGAATAGGAAGGTAGGGAAATTAGCATATAGTGGTTTTATAATAAAATAAGGCTCTAAAAATAAATCCATAAAGAAAACAACAACAGCAACAAAATACCCACCTTAGTTTTCTGTTGTGTAATAAATTACCAAAGATACAGGGGCTAAAAACAATACCCATTTTTTTACATTTTAGGGCTCTAAAGGGCATAAGTCAGGGTACCCTTGACTTGAACTCAGGGGCTTCTCCAGGTATCATAAGGCCAAAATCAAAGAAAGATGGAAAAGCACAAGTTACTAGCTCCCTAGGAACTCTCACCTAGTGTTTCTGCTTAGGATATCATTAAGACCACAATCAGAGTGTCAGTTGGGCTGGGCTCTTATGTGGAGACTAGGAAAAAAATCTCCTTCCAAGCTCCTGTAGGTTGTGAACAGATTCAGATGCAGTGCCAGTGTAGGAACAGATCCCTATCTCATCCTGACCATC